GAAAACTAATGTGCATGTTATTCCCAAAATCACCAAAATATTATAGATAGCAGAGGGCAAAAGTATATATCCATAATCAAGAAAATAAAACTGGGGACAAAATATAGAAGGGAATGCAATGTACAATTATTGATGACTGCTAGTGTTGTCATTGTAAAATAAAGTGTAAAATTAGTGCTATATACAATAAAGCATTTTTAAGTTTTCCTCAAAATAGTGTTAATAAGTTTCAACATTTCAATACTTAAATATTTTCTTTATAAGTAAATCATGTGAAATGATTTTTTTTCCTCCAATGTGCTGGAGAGTTGAGCCAAACTACTTCACTAATTTCCTAAGCAAACATAGCCCAGTATACAGCCTTTCATGAAATTAACTAATGAGCTAAAAACTATGGAATGATATCAAGTAGCCAAGAATTACTAAAACAATCAGTTGTACTATATCGTATGTACTATTCACCTATTCAATTGTCAAATCTATTTAAAAAAGTCTTTAAAGAAAAAAGATTTCCTACCTCTATTTCAGAAGCTGACATGTACACAGCCAGAGTAACTAAAGATAATACTAATATAATATATGGGAAGGCATAATCTGAAAAACAAACATTGGTATTATGTTGAAATTTAAGCAAATTTTCTGAATAAACCATCAAAAAAATTCAAACAGCATAGCTTTCCCCAGGATCATAAACTTTCTCAACCAGTCCTGTGACAGACTTAAGCCCTACTGCCCTAAGACAGTGGTCAGCAAACATTTTCTGTAAAGGGCCTTTATTTTTGGCTTTGCAGGCCATACAGTCTCTCAATCACCCAACTCCAGAGTTGTGGTGGGAAAACAGCCGGACAATACGTAAGTCAATGAGCGTGGCTGTGTCCAAAAAACCCTTTATGGACAATAAAACTCAAATTTTATATCATTTTCACATGTCAAGAAATACTTCTCTTCTTTTGATTTTTTTTCTAACCATTAAAAAATGTAAAACTATTTTGGGCCCAGCTTTGAAGATTCCTGCCTTAAGGCAACCACTGAATGTAAAGAATTAACTTCTGTCCTATGCAACTAGGATGATACTTGTTATATACCAAATTTGAGAGAGTTTAGAAAATAATCAAATAATGTTCTGTCTGTGGTTCAGATGGGGACCTCTGGACCTTCTCAACAGCTTCAGTTGAGAAGGGCTATAAGAGTAATTCAGCTTTAATTATTCCTTAGAAAAGTTAATTTATCAATAAACCTCAAAGGAAAAACTGGATCATTCAGTGCTCTTAATTTCAAAGTTTTAGAAAGTTCTACTTCAGATACACTACAATAATATCTTAAGCAAAACTTTTTCTTATAAAATACTACTTTCTCTTAAAATGTTTTAAATTTATAACAAACTAAATGGACAAATTGAGAAAAAAATACTTTGAATTATTTTTGATTAATTATTTTAAAACAATTAGCTTCAATTTATGAAATCAGAAATCATTTACATTGCAATGGAATCCATCTAGAACAATTCCAAATGTTAAATCAGATGCAGAAACCAGAACACTGAATTGTCTATACAGGTCTGATTCCAGCTTACCAAGTATGAATGACTTGACATTCAGAACCTTTTACTTCATAGACAGTGATTAGGTTCTCAACCAGCCATTTAAAAAAATCCCATTTAATTTATAAAAAGCTTAACAATGATGCTAATGACACAATTTAAGACCTGGTAGTAGTCACCTAAGGTAAAAAGGAAGAAGTTTCTAACAAACTTATATTAAAGATTATAGTGAGAATTCTCTTACTTTATTTGAAAGGTTTTCATAAAGGAACTTAGAAATCTAAGACCTAATTAATGGTAAATAGTATATATTATTGAGAGTAATTTCCATATATTATATGCAAAAACTGGTATTTGTTTTTTAATTAGTACTAAGGTTTCTAAAATCTTTGTCTTTAAGTTATAAATGTTCAAATACAAGTACTTCTAAATAGAAATCAGTTTTGATTAACTGCCACTGAATTCTTGAGATTTTCTATTCCATTCCAAAAAATCCATGACTTTTAAAATAAGACTAGCTATGTATTTTAGCAAAAAATATATACTATGATTTATCTTCAAGGTTTAAAACAAAGTATTTTAAAGAAAAGGCTCCAAAATTATACTCAGAGAATATATACTGTTTATCACACAATAAATAAATATATTTCATTGACTTTACCCATCGAACTTACATAAAAGGCCTCCACCCACTGCCTGAAGTACAGTTAAAATTGGGAAGAAGTAAAGTGCAGCATAAATGCTTTTAAATCGATCAGACTTCCCTAATCCACAGGCGATCTTCTTCACCAGAAGAGGGCGAAGCAGCATCATCAACACCAAGCAGAACGCGTAATAAATAAATACGATGGTGTATCTGTAAAATAAGGAATTAGAACATCGAGAATATGTCTTAAAATATTTTTTTAATTGATCATTTTAAAATCAAAGATCCTAGAAAGGGTTAAAAAAAGTGTATTAAAAAATCTACCCACTGAATATTCACATTGGTGCAGGGTTGGCCAAAAAACTCTCATACACCCCTGGAAAATATATGCTGGTTCCTTTCCACTATGAAGTTTAGAAATGTGTATCAAAGCTCCTAAAAATGTGTATAACCCTATAATCTAGCATTTTACATACAGAAATCTATCAATGGCAAACAAAGATACATAAAAAAGCTTTACAAACAAGGATTTTTATTTAATAATAAAACTCAGGAACAAAATTAATATACAATAAGAAACTGGTTAAATTTGAGTAGATTCATGCTGGAATACTGTGTAGTCATTAAAAATCTAGTTATGAAAGAAATGTAAGGAAAAAGTAACTGTGTCTAATATAATAAGTGACAAGCAGGTTACAAAATAGCATGTACACATTATAACCTTAATCTCCTCTAAAAAATATGTACAAACAGAAATGAAACTATAAAGAACATTTTTAGTAGTGGTCACCACAAGGAATGGAATTACAGATTTTATTTTTGTGTACTTTATGTTTTTCAAATTTCCTATAATGTAATTCTTATAATCTGGAAAAAAAGTTATTAAAAAGATCTCTCTGTATCACCATAGTTTCTTGTTCTTTATTTTGAATAATGAGATTTCTCTGCACAAAGTCCTAACCTTTTCATGAGGATTTTCAGCTCATTCATTCTACCTTACTACTTGACTGCTCTCCCACACAGGAAAGAGTTACCAGAAGCCCAGCAGTTGTCAGATCACTGACCACTCGCACAATGATAGTGCATTCTTGTTTTGGGTCCAGCCCTGTCCTGTAGTGCATTATTACATGTCTGACCTATTGGATGATAAGATTTTTTGTCTTGTTAGGCTATCAAAACAAAGTAGAATCTATTCCTCCAACTTGTAGTTCCTTAAGAGCTTCGAAAGGATTATTATTTTAATCAGAAGGAAATCATCTCATGTTACTTCTCCTAATGAACCAGGAAACTAGTCTCTGGAAGCAAATGGCCTGTTTCCTACCTATGCCCTCCACCAGAAGACTTCATCTTGCACCATCACCGCTCTTCAATCATGCCTCCCATACAGGGGATACCATAAAGCTGATGAGCTAAAACTAATTTTTGTTACAACAATAATCACTGCTCATTTCCAGTAACTCATCAAGTTTTAGTAATATAAACATTAATTTATGCAGTAAGCTCCTACTGACAAAAGCTTGCATGTTTTTTTAAGTCTCATCTAATCAATTTCCCCTCCAGACTATAATCATCAATACACATATCCTGATATTTTTCAATTTGTAAAGAACTAGGCTACATATGCCAATGGAGAAAATGACCTCCATTAGTCAATGTAATAGTGTTCCAAAGGTTTCTGGTAATTTTGTGCCATTACTTTTTGTTGACTCACAAAAGAAAAAAATTACTGTAACTTTTGGTAGTCCTACAGCTTTCTGGAATGTTTAGTCCCAGTCTGGCCATATATGTTTTAAATAGTTCCATAAAATAAATAATATATATAAACCCAACATTAATGCTATACATTCTCCTCATAATTTTCAAAAACCATTGTTTCATGTAACTAATAAAACAAGGCTGATATGCCATCCCACAGTAATTCACTGGTAAAGCTGCTGGAAAAAAAAAACAATTCAAAGATAGTGAACAGATGGAAAATGTCCTAATCAACAATGTTGTGTGTTGATTCTGATGGAGAGTGCTGACTGGATTCTGAGACTTTACCCAACTCAGCAGGAAAACGTGCTGTAATAAATTACAAGTGGCTGTATAGATGCAGAATGAGGACTGGGAGCAACTTGTTTGCCATCTCTGTTCTAATCCTGTATTTTTTTTTTTAACTCTGCTACTCTAGGCTTTACAGACATTATTAAAAAAATACTATAAATGTGACCAACAGTAAATGAGTCTCATTTGAAGTAAGATGGTTATATACAGCTTATTTAAATATGACATCTGATTCACTTGCAAGCTCTGTAAATAGCATCAGGCTTATTTCAGAAGTGCTTATACACACTTCAACACCAACACAAAAATCCTTTTTCCCTTCTACTATACTAAGATGTATTTCTATTTCCTCCTATCAGACTATGTATCCCTTAAGAACATCATTTCTGTGTAGGTTCCCCTGCCTGAAGCCATTTTGCAGTGCTCAAATGAAATGCTGAAATGAATGAAATCTATAATTACCATTTTTTAAAAAGTGATCTTAAGTCTGTATAAATACTTACAGTGGGTAGACAGCTTCATGCGTACAATGCACTGTGGTAATGTAATCTGGACTTGGGTTGTAAAGCATTGTGTACCAATCAGAAAGCATCAATACTCGACATGAACGGATATAAAGAACGCCAACCGGGTCACTCACAAGTAAGGTGATAACAGCTGCCACACTGCACTCAAACAATGCAGTGATGTGCTGGAACAGGGCACTGGAACTGGCAAAACAAAGAAGTACACTTGTCAGGACATTTTCAGTATTTCAGTGGCTTTAAATAAAATTTGTATGTTTCAAGACATGGATTCTAAAAAGAAATTTTAACTGATAAATCCTGAAACTAAAAATCTAAATTGGTGAGAAAAGCCAAACATACATGAAAACTACCTGAGAAGAGTTGAACCTTCTTTACTAAAAAGGGATACTCATCCCAGATTACCACTGTGCCAACAGTGTCTAAATATGCAGAAGAGCAGAAATTAGATATACTTTTATCTTCAGTATCTTGTCAAACTGTTATTAAAAATTTTAGTTATCTATGCATCATTTTAAATTATATTAAATATAAAAAGTACATAAAAGATTATATGCAATATATATCAGATATTATAATCATATAATAAATACCAGAAGCCCATTATCTAACCCAATTACTGGAATATTAACAAGTTATATCTACCTCTGTTTCTCCCCATTTCTCTCTCCTGTCTGTGCCCTAGAAGTAACCATTATACTAAATTATCTTTACTTTTTCTAAACAGTTTTTGTTCCAACTGTATTTATGGTTCAAAACTACTCTATTCAATTTTACTTATTTTGAACACTATAAAGTGATGTAAGTCTTCTTAAGATTTTTTTTTTCCCCATTCAAAATTACATTTCTGAGATTCATTCATGGTGTTGCTTACAGCTGAGGCTCGGTCATTCTCCCTGTTGCATGGTATTCCATGGTGTGCCTCTCCCACTGTTTATCCATTCTGCTTGTTAAATATGTCACAAATGTCTTCCTCTCAGTTTATGGGTTGAATTTTTCACTTCGTGATGCCTTTTTATACATAGATGTTCTATATTTTAGTGTAGTTCGCTCTACCAATTTTTAGATTTCTGGTTAGCAGTTTTAGTGTTTTATGAAATTCTCACTCTAATAAAAATATTAGCCCACATTTTTTCCTCAAAGTTTAAAATTCTGCTTTTCAAATTCATAACCTTTAACTCACCTGGATTTCTATGTATAATATAAGGTAGGATGTAACTTCAGATTTTCCCATTTGGATATCCAGTTGTCCCAGCAGCAGCATTTTATTGAACAGTTAGTTAATCTTTTCCCCCAACTAAATTGCCACACTATTGCCATATAAAGTTTTACAGACAACTGGTCTGTTTTAAGGTTCTTGGTTTTGTTCTTGGGGTCTGTTTCCCCTGGAACAACAGAATATAACAGTAATTCTGATATTACATACATTCATCTACTTCAGAGGTCTTGGCTATTCTTAGGCCTCTGCACTTCCATATAAATTTTAGAATTGTTTCATGTAACTAATAAAACAAGGCTGATATGCCATCCCACAGTAATTCACTGGTAAAGCTGCTGGAAAAAAAAAACAATTCAAAGATAGTGAACAGATGGAAAATGTCCTAATCAACAATGTTGTGTGTTGATTCTGATGGAGAGTGCTGACTGGATTCTGAGACTTTACCCAACTCAGCAGGAAAACGTGCTGTAATAAATTACAAGTGGCTGTATAGATGCAGAATGAGGACTGGGAGCAACTTGTTTGCCATCTCTGTTCTAATCCTGTATTTTTTTTTTTAACTCTGCTACTCTAGGCTTTACAGACATTATTAAAAAAATACTATAAATGTGACCAACAGTAAATGAGTCTCATTTGAAGTAAGATGGTTATATACAGCTTATTTAAATATGACATCTGATTCACTTGCAAGCTCTGTAAATAGCATCAGGCTTATTTCAGAAGTGCTTATACACACTTCAACACCAACACAAAAATCCTTTTTCCCTTCTACTATACTAAGATGTATTTCTATTTCCTCCTATCAGACTATGTATCCCTTAAGAACATCATTTCTGTGTAGGTTCCCCTGCCTGAAGCCATTTTGCAGTGCTCAAATGAAATGCTGAAATGAATGAAATCTATAATTACCATTTTTTAAAAAGTGATCTTAAGTCTGTATAAATACTTACAGTGGGTAGACAGCTTCATGCGTACAATGCACTGTGGTAATGTAATCTGGACTTGGGTTGTAAAGCATTGTGTACCAATCAGAAAGCATCAATACTCGACATGAACGGATATAAAGAACGCCAACCGGGTCACTCACAAGTAAGGTGATAACAGCTGCCACACTGCACTCAAACAATGCAGTGATGTGCTGGAACAGGGCACTGGAACTGGCAAAACAAAGAAGTACACTTGTCAGGACATTTTCAGTATTTCAGTGGCTTTAAATAAAATTTGTATGTTTCAAGACATGGATTCTAAAAAGAAATTTTAACTGATAAATCCTGAAACTAAAAATCTAAATTGGTGAGAAAAGCCAAACATACATGAAAACTACCTGAGAAGAGTTGAACCTTCTTTACTAAAAAGGGATACTCATCCCAGATTACCACTGTGCCAACAGTGTCTAAATATGCAGAAGAGCAGAAATTAGATATACTTTTATCTTCAGTATCTTGTCAAACTGTTATTAAAAATTTTAGTTATCTATGCATCATTTTAAATTATATTAAATATAAAAAGTACATAAAAGATTATATGCAATATATATCAGATATTATAATCATATAATAAATACCAGAAGCCCATTATCTAACCCAATTACTGGAATATTAACAAGTTATATCTACCTCTGTTTCTCCCCATTTCTCTCTCCTGTCTGTGCCCTAGAAGTAACCATTATACTAAATTATCTTTACTTTTTCTAAACAGTTTTTGTTCCAACTGTATTTATGGTTCAAAACTACTCTATTCAATTTTACTTATTTTGAACACTATAAAGTGATGTAAGTCTTCTTAAGATTTTTTTTTTCCCCATTCAAAATTACATTTCTGAGATTCATTCATGGTGTTGCTTACAGCTGAGGCTCGGTCATTCTCCCTGTTGCATGGTATTCCATGGTGTGCCTCTCCCACTGTTTATCCATTCTGCTTGTTAAATATGTCACAAATGTCTTCCTCTCAGTTTATGGGTTGAATTTTTCACTTCGTGATGCCTTTTTATACATAGATGTTCTATATTTTAGTGTAGTTCGCTCTACCAATTTTTAGATTTCTGGTTAGCAGTTTTAGTGTTTTATGAAATTCTCACTCTAATAAAAATATTAGCCCACATTTTTTCCTCAAAGTTTAAAATTCTGCTTTTCAAATTCATAACCTTTAACTCACCTGGATTTCTATGTATAATATAAGGTAGGATGTAACTTCAGATTTTCCCATTTGGATATCCAGTTGTCCCAGCAGCAGCATTTTATTGAACAGTTAGTTAATCTTTTCCCCCAACTAAATTGCCACACTATTGCCATATAAAGTTTTACAGACAACTGGTCTGTTTTAAGGTTCTTGGTTTTGTTCTTGGGGTCTGTTTCCCCTGGAACAACAGAATATAACAGTAATTCTGATATTACATACATTCATCTACTTCAGAGGTCTTGGCTATTCTTAGGCCTCTGCACTTCCATATAAATTTTAGAATTAGCTTGTCAAGCTTCACAATATAATCCAATGTAGCTTAACTACCTTAGCCTTAGTCACCTCATAGTACCATGATACTATAAATGGAATACAGGAAGGTAAATGATTTGTATATTTATCTTAGAGCCAGTCTCTTTAGTAAATTCTCTTATTATTACTAGTTATCTATTCTATTGATGCTTTTGAGTTTTCTGTTTGAACAATGTTTTAATTATCTATCACTGCATAACAAATTAGTGGCATGAAACCACCACCACTGATTATGTCTCACTATTTTGTGGTTTGACTGGGTTTAACTGAGCAGTCCTTTCTGTTCCATATGATGTCAATTTAGGAGCTTCAACTGGGCTGCTGTGTTTAAAGTAACTAACTCACATGACTGAAGTAGGTGCTGGGTATCGCTGTGAGCACAACAGGGCTGCTGATCAGAGTACCATGTAGCCTCTCTTTTATCTTTAATTATGTGTGTAGGTATGGATTTTTTAAAATTTATTCTGCTTGGGCTATGTTTTGATTTCCAGAAGCAATTCTGTGAATCTCTTTTTCATTATTTCTGTAAAACCTGAAGCCTGTATGTCTTTAAATATTGGCTCCTCCTCATTTTCTCAGAGACTCTGATTAGATACTCTGAACAGAGTTACAAAAACTTAAACCTGCACATGAGAACTGACTTTCAGTTAGCTCCGTTTCTCTGGAAGCCTGATAAAGGCAAAATGTCAACTTTATTGCTAGGTTACATTGCTTATGATACAAATGATCCCTTGATTGGTAAACTGTGTCTGGACTGGGGAGAACTATAAATGAATGATAAATACCTGATGGGGATACCATGGTTTGGCTTTCTTGAGTTCAGTGACTCTTGAATAGGTACGTCCCTTGCAGGACTCTGGAAGGTATACTTACAGAGATGTTACAGAAAGCTTGGCTCCTTTGGGTCATAAGACGTTAAGCCTGGATGACTCCCACACCCACTCAATGTGGATTTTATCTCCTTGCAGCTGAGCTCAGCTGCTTCAAAAGCTCTTGCTGACAAGGCATGTTTTTTGCTGCTCTGCTGGCAAGCTGTGTTCCTTCTTAGTAGATTGCTGCTTGGTATGACCTACAGTAGTCTCGTACCTCTGAACATTTAACTGAACCTAGGTGGATTACTAGTAGGTATTACAGATACATATTATAGCTTCATATTAATATGTCTCAACATATTTCACATTTTCCATTTCCTTTTCTCTCCATGGGGCATTCTGTTACTTCTTTATACATGTATTTTCTAATTCACTAATTCTATCTTCAAATGATTAACTTGCTAATCGACCTACCAATTTAAAATTTTATTTCTAGAAGTTCCTTTTTTTTCTTTACCAAATCTGTTGATTGATGCCTAACATTTTCCAGTTGAGTAGAGATACTTGTGACCCCATCCTTTATTATTTTAAGTGTTATAAAGATACTAGTGATATATTCTGTAGCTGAAAGTCTATTATCTGTAGTCCTTTGGGAGCATCAATATATTGCTTGTCTATTATCTCTCAGTCATAGGGCTTATTTTATTTGGTAATCACAGATTATGAGGTCATTAATAGATCTTAGTGAGCAAGAGTCTTATGAACCTAAACTGAGAATGGAGAAGCTTTCCAGCACAGAGTATTTGCTGACTTTTGCCAGCAGCTATGCCCACTACCTTGGGCTTCAGCCCCTTGAGAGCCTAGGCTTAGCACTGGCTGCCCAAGATTCATTGTCCAAAGAGCACAGCTGCTATCAGCAATTAACCTCAGGCAAGCCTCCCATCCCTATTGTCTGTTTGTCCCTTTGGCCCCAGCTCAGGATGGGTTTGTTTGTTTTCTGAAGAGAAGAGTCCCTGGAAATCTCCCCTTCCTTCAGCAAGTCCAGCAATGTCTTAAATAGTATGTCTTTTCCAGACTAGTTATTTCATGCAGGAGGGTCATTTGGAGCTCCTAATTAGCCCATATTGTTGGAAGCAGAACTCCTGCACCATTTTACACAGATTGAAACACTGAATACATAAACAAACATTTCCACATTCATAGTATATAAGCCAATCTTTCACTTCCTTAAAGAATTTGTATTTTTTAGAGGCAAAATTCCAATCTCATCATTTCTTGCCATTATCTAAGTAATCTTACTGGTCTCTTCATCATGCTCCCTTTCAATTTATCTGCAGTCAGCCACGTGATCTTCACAAGATGAAATCTGACTCTAAAACTCCCCTTATTAAAATAAACTGCGTCAGTGAGTCCCATCTGCCTTCAGGAAAACACTCCTCACCAGTATTACCTTCTACACCTCCTGGCCATGCTGAATCCCTTTGTTTCCTCCTGCCTCCGTGTATTTGGGCATGCTTCACACTCCACCTCAAAACACATTGCATCTACCTGGCAAACTGTGTCTCTCCCGAGATCAACTCTGGGCTTTTCCCCAGGTCTTACAAATATTTCTTAAGGCTCCCTCAGCCCCAAATCTCTTCATATGCTGGTATTATTTAGTCACTATTTCTCACAGGATCTTCAGCTCTCACCTTGCGTTTATACTGTGCTCTCTTTTGCCTCTACTTTTGCACATATTTTTGCTGCTGTCTGATAGACTTTCTTCAATTCCTCTATCAAAACATACTCACTTTTCAAAGTCCAGCTTAATGTCAGTTTTTTTTCTGCACTACTACTTCCCTGTTTTGAGAAGGGAAACCTAACTTCTTTCTTTTTTGTGACAGCCTTAAAACTCTGTACATCCCTGTATTACAGAACCTCACAAGCATTGTGGTAGTTTATCTCAATCATTGGACTGCGAGCATCCACATTTCAGTCATCTCTGTATCCCTCAACCTGATACAGTACCTGGCACATTGAAAATATCAATAAAGATTGAGGAATGAATACATTCTAGAAGTTATAAATTACATAAAAACAATTCACATAAGAAGCAGAGCCTCTGACTACACTACATAAAAATATGCAATTTCTGCCTATCTTTGCCCTGGCCTCAAAGGAGAACAAATTTAATATTAAACTCTGGTGAAAGCAAGGGCACCAGAAAGCAAAGTTCTGATTAGTGTCGAGCCCATACATTATCACTCCCAAGGGGACAAGAACTGGTTCTTGGGGAAAAACTACTACTACACTTCTTATATATACATACACTATACGAAGAGATAAATAGTAAATCCGTATAAGATTCATGGCAATAGATGGAATTAGGAAAGAAAAAAAGCTTTTTAAGGAAGTGACAATGAAAAAAAAGGTTGAGAAACACTGGGCTAGCCTCAGACAGCTAGGCCTGTTTCCTTGATTATAAGTTCAATGTTTCAGAGAAATGCAAGAGACAGCTCTTGTATTCCTTGTGCCAATTCCTAGGCAAAGCATATCTAGCATATGCAAACTCCTCCTTTCTAAACCCACCTCCTTTCCTGCCTGAGCACCTATCACACTTCTGCTCTACTTGTAAACCAAACATTATCTGCTGCTCCAAGATTCTTCCTCAAAATACCTGATGTCTTTTTTCAAAAGCATTTGGTGATTTACATCTCTACACCCCCACCTCTTCCCAACTTCGAGTTGAGAAGTTCCAACCAGTTAGCTGTGCCATTATTCTGTTTTAGCTTTCCATGCCCTTATCTCTCAACACTCTGTACCAGAAATTAAAAGCAGGATGGGTGCTGCTCCAAAGAAGTCTTTTTATAGCTTCATCTGAAAAAGAATGAGTGTTTTTCCAGTGTCAATGACCACCCAGGATTTACTAGGCAGGATCCAGAAAACTGCTAATTCTATTTCCATCGGACCATCCTTTCCATTTCCACTCCCACAAGACTCTGACCATCACTATTTGTTGGACAACAGCCTTCAAATATGCCTTACCTCCAATCCACCTTCCACAGAAAATACCTTCCTAAAATACACATGCAGTGATGCTACTTCTCTAAATGAAAACCTTCACCAATAAATAACTCACCCAGAAAATACTGAGTGAGCATGTATCATGTGACAGCTGCTGTGCTGGTCTCTGGGATCCCATGGGGATGGTCACTGCCCTAGTGCAGCTTAGGGTCAGTCGGGGGATGCAGGGGAGCGTTAAATGAGGAACATAACTGTAAACTGTGGTGAGTGCTAAATGCAAAACAAAAAGAAGAGTGCTTTTAAAAAAGAAAAATACTTCAAAGCAGGTCAGGGAAGACCTCTACCAGTAGGTGTAATTTAAACTGAAATCTGAAGGAAAAAAAGGCAGCTAGGTAAAAATATGCAGTCACAGGGAAAAGAGAATATCTGAGGCAGAGAGAAGAGTCTGGGAAAGGGAAAGGACCTAACGTGGGAAAGATGCTGAGAAGTTAGTTAGTTAATTAATAAAATCAAAAATAAAAGCCAGCAGGGCTGAAATGTGCTAAAGTAGAATTAGGCTCCTCATTCCCAGTAGAACAGAATTCACATCCTGTCTGGAACCTTTACATCTGGCCTCAACCTACTTTTCCCACTCTTTTGCCCTTTCTTTCAGATGCAATCTACACTTTGACCACTCCAGACTACTTCCATTCCCACCCACAAGAGATCACACATTCCACCCATTCATGCCACTGTTCATGCTGTTTCCTGTCTAAAATGTTCTTTTTCTGAAGTCTTTCAGATTATAGTGGGCACAATTTATTTCTTTCATTCCAGGACATTTTGTTTATAATGTTTTCATACTTTTTGTTACTTTTAAGACTGATTTATATAATTAGTTGTATTCATCTATCTTCTCTACAAGACTATGACTATAAATGACATCAATTATTTTTCTACATTCCCCCGGTCTTCTAAACATAAAACACAGTGCTCAATAAATATTTGTTGATTTAATGCTTTAGTAATTAGGTTGTAGTTATATTAACTACATTATACTAGATTACTAGTATTAACTCATGAAGTATTTACTCCAGAACAAGAAACTGTTTGTAATCATAACCAGTTCTTTGTAGAAAACCAATAATTGAGAAATTAAAAAAAAGAAATACATTCATTTAGAGTAAAACAAAGGATACTTTGCTTAATAATTATTAAGCCATGCTTTACCATTCAGTTTTCTTGCCACAGTCAAAAGTAATCAGAATATAAAGCAAAAGCAGGTTTAACACTTTTAAAAGAACGTAAGTATAGTTACTTGATAAGGTCTTCTGACAATTATTTCATCAGTCCATTCCATCATACATTCATAGAAAGTGCTAACCTCTTTTTCCCTGAGTACCACTCAATGAAGAACCAATGTAAAACAAGAGGAAGCATAGCCATGAATCCAAGATAGAGCCAATCATAAAGTTCTGGAGACTCTGTGCAAGGTTGACAGTATTTCTGTGCATTTGTTCTCTGTCCTCTAGGACACACCTACAATATATAAAACAATATTTTATGTAGATATTATTTTAGAACATTAATATGCCCCAAAAGTCATTTTATAAGACATCTTACTTCAGTTTAAACATCTATCTAGATGTGCATCTCTTGCCCCAGAAGTCATTTTATAAGACATCTCACTTCAGTTTAAACATCTATCTAGATGTGCATCTCTCAGAAATACAAGAGAAACAAGAGAAAGCATAAGTAAAAATTTTTTAAGCTACATTGTATTTGCTATATCTGTATATTGCTCTTAAAGGATTCCTTTTATGAGGCTACTAAAATAGTTGACTAACATTAAATGATAAACACTGTGTAAAAATAACTGGAGAGAAAAGTTACAGAGTCTTAATATTAACTTTCTGCCCAGGTCACTGTACTCTATCATTAATAAAAGGTAATTAGAAATTGCCATAAGTCATAAAATGTTTTTAAAAATACTTAATAAATGTTACTACCAAGAAAGATGCATTACAATCAGTAAGACAATACAAATAAGGATTTTATTAATGTCTCCATGCTCTTTTATAAATTAGTGTATTGAAGAAAAATCATTCTATATGTGAAAATATTTCAAAAATAAAAAGATTTTACAAATGAAATAACATATAAATGTTAAGACTTACCCCACATTCTCCATAGATTTCAGCTGAGTCATTTTTAAATAGTAGAGTCTTCCCACAATAAAGTCCAAGGCATGCTGGTTGAATATCGACAGCTTTTTAAAAACAAATGTGAGTATAGTAGTATCTTTTGTGATTATAAGAAATAATGCAGTAATAGCTGAAGCACTTGACAAAAATATCTCAACATGGTTTCAGTTAAAAATGGTTATGTATTAGACAAAAGTCTTGATGCATTTATTTTTAAACTGAAATTTATCCTTTTACACTGTGATACTGCATAAAGTTACACTAGAACCTTGTTGTTAATACCATTCCCAATGATTAAGCCTCTTTACCGGCAGAGTGGGATCTAGCCCCAGAATTCAAAGCCTAAATTATTTTCTCTCCAAGGCTCCAGCCAGCCACTCCCCTTGATGAGAAAGACTTTTGAATTGCCGTTGTTTTATAGTTAAAGGACTATAGAGGATCTCCACCTCTTATTTTGCCCCGTCAGGACATTAGAGGGACACACATGCACACAGACACAAAATCCATTATAACCTTCATTCCTAATAGAACATATTTTAACACCAGAAAGGCATAATTTCAGAATAAAGGGCAAGCTTTTGAAGTAAATTCACCTTTATAAAAGGTTTACATTGTCCTGTTCTCATTTTTGCTGAGGACAGGTGAAAATTTCATTAGGGTTCTGGTCAACATTTGGAAATGACTTCCTTCGAATCAACCTCCCTGATCTCAAGGCTTAGGGAAAATAAAAAGCAATTCTTTACAAAAAAATTCAGGGCCTACATATTGCCATTAACCTCATCCACAGGAAGAAGTTACTGAAGGAGTTTTTTTTTCCATCAGTGACATCGGATTCCTTTCATTCATGATTCGTTCACTCAATAAACAGGCATTTAGTATTGGGACCACTGAAGAGCCACAAAGCAACAGGACAGAGGCCCTGCCCTCAAGGAACCTGCAGCCTAGTGTGGAACACTAAAACAACCAGAGTCAAATTTGAATTAATTTGTAAAGTTATGCATTTTATGACCATTCTTGAATAATCATTTCCCAAATTCTTTATGAATTCACAATCTAGAGACAGCCTGGTCCACAACGCTCTTTCCCCTTTCAAATTCAGGTAGACATTTTTCTCCTTGTGCTGCTAAGAAAAAAAAGAAATAGCACTGACTAAAAGACCTCAAGTTTAATATCTTCACTTTTATCAAATGTATTACCTTTTAAAAAAGCCACGGACTTTTTTACCTTATTTGACACTTTTTTAAACCAATTGCAATCACAAATGTCCTAACTACTGACAGATAAAGAGTGTTTCAGATTTTTTAGGATAGATGTCAAAAAATTGTAACCTTCCATGAGTTTTGCATCTAGATGTTTAATACATCTGATGGTAAATGACTTAAAGTCCTCAAAATACAAGGCATGAAAACTAGTATGATAAACTGAAAGCACCAGCTCATCCTTGACCAAAACAAACTGCCGGGTCCCTGTGTCCATTCAGTTTACCCTTTCATTTCCTTTAGTGAACGGTGACTCAAAATTTTAAGCCTTTTTTTTTTTTTCCCAACGATCTTGCCCCTTTGTCAAGGGCCCTAAATAAGACTGGATGCTGAAATAGCTATGCAGCTATTAGGTTTTGCTTCCTTTACTGTTTTTCTACATACTGACGCCCTGGCTTTAAATTCTGAAGTCAACCCTCTTCAATATTAAAGGGTTGCAGTGGCATATCGCACATAACAACAAAGGCCTGCCCTTGACCCCAGCACACTGCTGACCTCCCGTCTGCAACCTGTCTTCCATCTGCGGCCAGCGAGGAGCTGAGGCAGGACCGCAGCTGCAGGACTCCGGGACCCGACCCCAGAGCGGATGGCGGCAAGGGGAGAGTACTAGCCGCTCCCGGGAGCTGCCCGCCAGGCCGAGCCCAGGGCCCGCAGCACAGGCAATACGCTTCCCGGAACCTCTGCGACCACTCACCCATTGGCCACTTGCAGATTGCCCTGGAGAAGCTCCGGGATCAGAAGACCCGGCGGAAGCGCCCGGACATCCGGGCCGCAGCCGTCTCTGCAGTTCCACCTCCTGGTAACCGGGACGACAACGCCGAAGCCCCGCCCCCGCCCTTTCGCGTCGGGCTCCTAGGCCCCGCCCCCTGAGGCTGTTGAGCGTCCCGCCCTGTCGCGCGGGGTAGGCGAGCGGGCCCCGGGCTTGACGCGCGCGTTGCGGGGCGGTGGTCGAGTTCCCGGATGCAGACGACCGAGAGCGAGCTGGCAGTGCCCTGGCTGCCCCCTCACGACCCGGGGACGCCGGCGCTGTCGGTGGTGGACATGCACACGGGCGGCGAGCCCCTGCGCATCGTGCTGTCGGGGTGTCCGGAGGTGGTCGGCCCTACGCTGCTGGCTAAGAGGCGGTACATGCGCCAGCATCTTGACCACGTGCGGCGACGGCTCCTGTTTGAACCCCGTGGGCACCGCGACATGTACGGGGCCGTGCTGGTGCCTAGCGAACTGCCGGACGCGCATCTGGGCGTCCTTTTCCTGCACAACGAGGGCTACAGCTCCATGTGCGGCCACGCGGTGCTGGCGCTGGGTCGCTTCGCGCTCGACTTCGGGCTGGTGCCGGCGCCCGCGGCCGGCTCTGGCGAGGCCCGCGTCAACATCCACTGCCCGTGCGGGCTGGTAGCAGCCTTCGTGGACTGCGAGGGCGTTCGCAGCCGCGGCCCGGTGCGCTTCCACAGCGTCCCGGCCTTCGCGCTGGCCACAGGTAACTGGCGGGGCCCTCCCAGCCCCAGGCAGGAGCCGCCGAGGATGCAACTAATTGCTGTCTGGGCTGGAAACCAGCGCAATGCCACTAATTCGCCCCTCAAGCCATTGCAATTAACAAGAAGGTAACCGTTAATCACAGCAAACGTGTGTCATCAGCATCTTAGCCTTGCGGATTTGTGCGGTGCATGCAGTTCCATATCCCGCAGATTTATCACCTGTGGTCTTGACAGCCTTGAGTATAGAATGTAGTGTTTCTCTTACTCAGGGCCTCTTGCCTGGAGATTTCACGGTTGGATAAAGCAAAGTCAGCTAGGGTCAAGGAAAGCCAAGAACAACCAATGTACGGGTTCCAGGCTGGCTCAGAATACGCTTACTAGACACATTATTAACTCCTGGCAAGTTACTAATCCGGTCTCCTGTAAAAAGTGCTTTCCCCACTTTGGTAAACAATTGAATGAGCTAAGCAATTAATAAATCATAAAGTTATGGATGTTGCTGCTCTTATTCTTTAAGAATAGCAACACATCGCCTGGGTCCAAATCCGGATAACCCCTTAAAGCTGTGCAACTGTAGTCGAATTACTTAACCTCTCTGTGCCTATGTTTCTTCGTTTGTTATCATACTGAGTTTTTGGTGAGGATTAAATGGGAGTATGCAGGGCACTTAACGTTTTTAAAAATGTATTCCTAGAGACAGAAAGGCTGCAGGATATTTAAAGTTGCTAGTTAGTTTTCTCTAAGTGTACTAAGCCCTTACGAGGTTTTGGTGGGTTCCCTGTGTACAGCTGGCATGTCATGTAAAACAGGGTGTCTGTAACTACAATCTTCGCAAAGAGGGTGATCTCTCCAAAGTAGTTATGACTGGAAGTGAGCTGGGAGCTGATTTAGTCAGTCCAGAAATAGAATTATTTTTCTTCTAAACATACAAATCTTTCTCATAGATCTTGATGTATCCTCGAGGATTCATCTTGCACATTAGCCTGATTTTGAGTGATGCAGTAATTGCCCAGGCCTTTGTCCATCTCAGAGCAATCGCTTAGGCAGCTGAAACACACGAGATGATGAAGAATGCCCTGGGGAAATTGATGCCCCTTTCCTCTTTAGAAAAGTATGGTGTAACATCAGACTGGGAGGGCACTTGAAGACAGGAGTTTATTTAGGAGTGCATCTCAGAAACCACTTTAACTAGCTTGGCTATCCAGTTTCCCCCTAGGCAATCCCAGCAGCTCTAGATTTTGTGGGAAATGACACTGGCAGCAGGATCACCACCAGTTCGGGTCTGGTAAGGGCAGGGGCAGCCAACAGCTCAAGCACCATACACATTTCCTGAGAGCATCACTGTCTGACTGTACAATAATCAGTAGGCAGTAATGGTCAATTACTGGTCAAGAAAATGAAAACTAGATTCTCTACTTTGTAAAATGCAAAAAGGGTGAACTGACGGTGTTCAAGATCACTGCTCTGCTCTTCCCCATCTCTGTGACCTTGTGAGAGGGATTCCATGCCTCTGTGTCATCCTCTGTAAAGTGAGGATGACAGCAGCACCCACTTAAGAGGATGGCTGAGTTCATCTCCACTTCACCTTGTTAAAATGAAAATTTAGTTTTGTTCATCGTATTAAAGTGCTAGAGCAGTTGGTAGTCAATGAATATTTGTTGAGTGAGTAAATAAGATGAATGACTAAAATAAAATTAGTAAATAAATGAAATTCGGAGAACATGCTGATTGGCAAGTGTAAATATCTGGTTCTCTTAAGAGCCCTATTCCCATTAGAAATTAAGCTTTTGGCTTTAATATTAACATTTATTGTGTTCCTAATCTGTGCCAAGCACTCCCCACACATTAGCACATGTGTTTGACAACACATCCTTTTGGGAGGAATAGCAGTTCCACTTTACACAGGAGGACACCAAAGCCACTTAGTGTCCCACCTTCCAGCTGTCTCTGGTTTCCATCTGCTTCCTCATTCTCCTTCCATTAAACCAAATTTTCATGACTCAGTGTGCAAACTCAGGAATATAAGAAACATTTTATTTTTCACAACTTAATTTCTGAATTTGAGACCCACTCTTCCCTGTTGTTTGACTTAGCAGCATCCCTCCACATGCTGTCACCTTCCCTGATGTATGTGTGAGCACAGGTTTCTTAACAGAGCCAAGGCCTTGGAGAGGAGGGCCTGTTGGTGCTTAGCTTGCACAGTTAACCAGCAAAACATATCTGCCCCCCTCCATGTGGCCCCTCTCCTGCCACTGCCTCTCTTCCTCATTGCTGCTCCAGCCACACCCTGTACATCCCTGTGGTGCTGTGGAAAGTCAGCACAGGTCCTCTACACTCATAACCTTCTGTGTCTTTTCTCAGTCCAGAGGAAATTTCTCTGTTGACCAGAAGAAATATTTCTCCCTTCAGAATGCTCCTTTGCCAACAAATGTTTTTCTTCTGAGATCTCAGGTTTTCATAAAACCTGCTTTCCCCCCTTCCATACACCTCCCCCAGATTACTGATCACCAAGCCAGGCTGAATTGGGAAGGAGGACAAGGAAAATGCAGGAAGGGGTAAAACAGCTTTAATATCCCAAATATCATCCAGCCACACTGCTTTGGAAATAGAAATTTGGACTTTAAAAAGACTGACCTTCAGGTGAAACTTTGGGTATGTCAGGGACTTGAAATACTCAATAAAAACCCTGATGCAAAGTTGTACCGAAGGCCAGCGATTCTATTATATTCTGAGTAATTCATTTGATTCTGAGTATTTGCCTACAGGATACTTTCATGAGATGATGAGGCCAATAAATGTTTATCATTTATGTAGAAAAATCTCTTTCATTTTGTTTTTATGTTACAGCTGAAGCAAACCAATTTGTGAAAAGGATCCAAAATCCTATTTTAAACCATTCCTATAGTCCAAGAGGGGACCTAATTTTCCTTCACAGTTTTATGCATTGATGGTCCAGGGTTTTCCCTCTCTCTGCCTCCATGATGTGTCCTAGAAAAGATCTTCAGTATAGTTAGCAAAATAACTATTTATGATTTAGGAACAATGTGGCATTCAGGTGTTCTAAAATGTGTGCAAACATCAGTTAAAAAATAGGAAGATGTGGGGCTCTCTTGTCCCCTCCTGGTGTGAGCCAGGAGCTCTGTCTGTCTTCTCACTGTATCTCTCAATAAAAGCCTCTCCCTGGCTCTCCTACCTTGACTGTTTGCTAAGTTCATTCTTTGACTCCGCAAACCAGAACGCTGGCATCATCTTTGGGGGCTCATCTGGGATAACTTCGGAGGCCTCTCTGGCTTCTGGGTGAGGCAAGGATGCTCTTTATTTCCTTTACATGCTCTATGTGTGCCTCCAAGTTCGTCAATTTCATGGAACCCGATGCTCACCACCACAAGTAGCCATATGACCTGCAAATGGTGATGGAAATGGAACCCACAGGCCCTCTTGACCGACCACTGATGGACACCTAACTGCACCCCTTACTATGCCCCCTCTCAGCATGAAGCAGCCAGAGCAGTCATCACCCCCTTTCCCTAGCTGCAGCTAGGGTCTCCATCTGTAGAGGGGGGAATGAGACAGGGACTGTAGGTGTAGTCAGGGTAGGATTAGGGCCTCCAGGAAAGGCAAGGTGAAATATTTACAGTCAGAGCAATGTAACAGTGGGCAAAGAAGTCCCTATTGAAACTGTGTTAAGAATTATGCAAAGTCAAGGTCACACTAATTCTCTAGGGAAAGATAACAGACTAAGAGTATAGCCATCTTCAGTGAGATCAGTTAAAGGTCAAAAGGCGAGGAGCAACTTGGCCTGAAATGTTTAAGTGTTCCGCAAGGGTATCTCAGCATAACCTGTGACTTCACTGTAAACAGCCCTAGCAAATAGACAACAACCCAGCCCACCCTGAGGAGCAGGTAGTACAAGTCCACACCCTAAGCCCTCAATTCCCAAAAATCCTCAACTGCCTCTAAATCCCCTAGACAACACACCACCCCGGACTCTCTTGTCCCCTCCTGGTGTGAGCCGGGAGCTCTGTCCTTTTTTTCTAAATAAAAGCCTGTACCTTGTTCTACCTTGACAAAAAAAAAAAAATAGGAAGATGCACTTAGCTAAAGGTCTATTATTGTTTACGTGACAACTCATTTTAAATGTATCATTTTAAATGGATTTTTGCTTCATTCCTTTTTATGATAGGGAAAAGTAACCCCCAAAATAGACATCTGAAAAATGCTGTGAAATTATATTGCTAAGATACTAAAAACAAATTTACTTTGAAACATGTTTTTAGATCTCCTCGTGGATGTTCCTGGTCATGGAAAGATGGTGGTGGACATTGCCTATGGTGGTGCATTTTATGCATTTGTTAGTGCTGAGAAGTTAGGACTTGATGTTTGTTCAGCAAAGACAAAGGACCTTGTGGATGTAGCAAGTGCAGTGACGGAAGCTGTGAAAGCTCAGGTCAGTACAAGTGCTGCTACAATAACAAACGCCCTCCCCTGTGGCATGGAGGGAATGTAAATTACATGTCTGTACAAAAAAATTAAACATCTGTATATTCAAATCATTAGTAGTACTAAGAATAGGGTATTGGTTACAATCTTAAGCTCTAGATTAAGACTACCCGGGAGTTCTCTTTGCCACTTGTAACTTTTGTAGCCTTGAACAAGTTATAGAAACCTCCACATGCCTCAGTTCTCCTAACTGTAAAATGGAAATTATGAAATACTTCATAGGATGTTTTAAGAATGAAATGTCAATGTGTATAAAGGACTTAGAGCCTATCCATAATAAATGTTCAATAAATGACAACTGTTATTAAATGTAATATTTGTACACTAATGTAATTTGTTATTTAAACATATAGAAAATGTATCTCATAGTATTCCAGTAATTTGAAATGCATATGCTTTGTTATATGTGATAGTTCTGCAAAGCTTGTCAATAATGAATGTAAAATATAGATCACAAATAGATTTCATTAAATATGATCAGACTGTCTCTGACTTAATAGAGAACATTAATTCCTAATTAGGGAATTTTTTTCTATACTGTTAAGAAGTTACTTAGATAACCACTCAAGTAACTCTAGTGTCAGCTAGGGAAAACTATTCTGATAAAATCACTTTAGATAATAAGTCTACAGTATTCTTTGATTTTTAGCACAAGTCTGCCATTTTATCTTGAAATTGGGACCTATAAAACTCATTCAATATTTGAATGTTTTAGCATATGAGAATTTGTTATTCTAAGTAAAAAATAACTTGTGAAAGATAACATCGAATATACTTGTATTAATAGTTATTTACGGACCTATTTAACGTACCCTGAGACTTTAACATAATTTATAATGTAAACAACAGAATGGAAATATGTACTGTATCTCTATTCTAAACTGACTTTTTTCCAGGACTGTCAATATGAATATTAGAATTATTTTATCATAGTAACTTCTGAAACTCTGAATTTACATAAGTTTTCTATTCCATTAAGCAGACAACTAATAGTTTGAGTTAATAATTTGGCATAAAGTAATTTTACCTCATTTTTAATGAAACTAAGAGGAAAAGGCATAGTTCATAATGAAAGGAGTAATTTTGAACTTCTCATTAAAGCTTTAATTTCTCACCAAGGTGGCAAAGGGTGGACATTGAGGAAGGAGGGATTCTGAGAAAAATATGAAAAATTTTATTAGTGATGAATCAGACAGTAGACAATTTTGTGCATTGCTGACCATTCACACTGCTGATGCAGATTTAGGGAAAGACTATTTTGAGGGGGGCTGAAGTTAATATAAATTCATCTTCATTCATTTGTTCTTTTAACAAACATTTACCAGGAGCTTATTGTATGTCACACACTATGCTAGATGCTAGAGATCCAAAGAAACAAAGCCACCTTCAAGGAGCTCAGTCTAGTTAGAGAAGCATACCTGGGAACAGTATGATGTTGTAATGGTGCTTGAATGATACTGAAATGATAACGGGAGGTGGGCATAGGGACTTCAAGAGGATGGCGGGCAAAGGTCCAGGGTGAAGGCCTCTTTAACTTGGTTTTAGATGGTGTCTGTGGATTTTAAGAATCCAAATCTACTCAGTTGCTTTAACTGACAGGTAAGCAGTAGTGGAAGGTATTGTAAGAGTACGCATGGACTGAGACTACTATCAGGTGTTACAGAAGTCCAGGCAGAGTGAAACAACTAGGCCTCCCTGGGACAGGAAGCACTGCACACAGGGCCTGACCATGCTTTACCATCAGGGTGCCTGTGCCTTCTGCTTTCTGCGGGTCTCTGCTGCTTTTCAGGATACCAGTTGACTTTATCTTTACAATGGATCTTCTTTTTTAATCCAATTGTTTCTCTTACCTAGTAGCTTCTATATTCTTATACCTTCTGTTTATGCGTGGCCCCTCCCAAGTCCTTGTCTGTACCAACAATAATAACTTCAGCTTTGATACTTATTACCTGATTTTTCCACATAATCCCCTTCAAGCTCCTGAGCGTGAGAATGTGATTGTCTTAGCTCCTTCTGTTGGAGCAGCTGTGGTCAGCCTGTGGGTTGACCATCCTGAGGTCAGTGCTTCAAAGAGTGTGTTTGTTTAGGGTGTGTGTGTAAAACAGGGCTGTTCCTTTAGTGAAAGCTATGTGCAGGGCAGCTTCCTCAGAAAGGACTCAGAGTACGATAAGAACAATGACTTCCAATAAAACTGTATTAATATAGACAAAGACATCATTTGTAGTATTCAGTGTTTAAACCCAAGAGGTATTTAAAAAATGATAAAGATTGAAAAGTTGTGTCTAGGAGTGCTCTAGCTACATTATTTATAAAGATAAATTTGGATGAAAATACTTATTCTACAGGTGGTTGTTAATTTTTTTGTTATTTGCAGTTTAAAATTCATCATCCTGATAGTGAAGACCTTTCCTTTCTATATGGAACTATATTAACAGATGGAAAAGATGCTTATAGTGAGGAACCAACCACCAACATTTGTGTGTTTGCAGATGAGCAGGTATTACAACTGTAATGTTTAGCACAAAAGCCAAGTAATATAGAACTAGAACACTCAACACTCTTACATTCATTTATTCTGAAACAGGTTGACAGAAGTCCTACTGGCTCAGGAGTGACAGCCCGAATTGCCTTACAGTATCACAAAGGCCTTCTACAGCTGAACCAGACCAGAGCCTTTAAAAGCAGTGCAACTGGCTCAGTATTCACAGGGAAAGCTGTGAGAGTGAGTGATATCCTTAGTTTCTTATTTGCAAATGTTACTTATGAGACTGAAGCAGCCTGAGCTGGTGTTAGATAAGTTTATTCACACACCTCTCAGAAGAGAATTTTAAAGCAGGCGTATAAAATATTCTGCTCAACTAGGATCCTAGTTCTGAGAAGTGTAGTTTTGGGACCCCTGAGGGACCCAAAGGTCTTTTCCATGGATCCACAAGGTAAAAACTTTATTCACAGTAGTAATACTAAGATATTATTTGCTTTTCACTTCCATTCTCTCAAGAGCATTCAGTGGAGTTCTCTAAAGGTACATGTCAATTCTACCTTCAAAGTATCTCTATATTTTGTCTCCATTCTCCCTAAAACTGCCCTAGTGATTCTAGATTCAGTCAATGAATTAAGGTTACCTCTTAACAGGTTTCTGGGTTTCTAGTCTCTCTCCTCTCCAAATTGTCCCCACTTTATATCTAAATGCAACTAAGCACAAATTCGATCTTTTTCCGCCTTAAAAGCCTTCCATTGTCTAAAGGATTAACCCTTGGGTTTTCTTTAAAATGATAAAAATCAGGAATATGACTTTTAGGCTAATAATGAGTGCAGCATTTTGGTATTATGCTCCTTTCACCTTTTTTCAGGAAGCAAAATGTGGTGATTTGAAATCTGTTATAGTGGAAGTATCTGGACAAGCCCATTACACAGGCGCAGCAAGTTTAATAGTGGAAGATGCTGACCCACTGAAGGATGGATTCCTTCTCAAATGACTTTTAAGGGCTTTCTTTTCAAAGAAGTTCTTATTTGTAAGTAATTTTGTCTGAATTGTGTGGAAAACTCTATCTAAATTGTACATGTAAGCCAACTTCCATTCCTTATAAAATAGTATGCTGTGCCTAAAAAGTCTATACCTTATATTTGCACATGTATATTGTTATATCACTTATGTCTAGCATACAAAATGCCAAATTCAAACTATTTTCTAGTAACTAACATATCAGGTAAAATTTAAACCTTAGTTTTTGTTACTTTTAAAATATTACTCAATGGTAGCTACTATATATTTTAAATGTTCTTTGAATACTAGCTGTAATTGCAGCCCTTACAACAGCTCTTAAAGGTAATTTTTATTTAGTTTTCCAGTTTTTGAGTAAAATAGTGCCTTCTCTCTAAGGGTGAGATAGATGATTATAAGGTACTCAGCACTTAGTTTACACAGCCTGGGAAGGAGTGGGATGGGGCCGCTTCCATAGGCAGATGTTGTTATAGCTGCTGCTGGGATATTCTCTGGGCTACAAAGCCCAGCTTCCACACCCAGGTAACTGAAGTCTCATAAACTGATGTGAGAATACCAACTGGTAATCAAGCTTTTGATAGATCTTTAAGGGTCTTATTAAAGGAATTGTTTATTGCCTGACTGAAATACAAGTACACAGTAGAAATCAAATCACTGAAGCACTACTGTGGGGCAAGTCTCACACTCTGTCAGATACATGCCAGACAAATTTAAAACATGAAAGAAATGTTACCTGTTGGCTTTCTTGTTAGCTAACTGTCCTGAGCCTGTAAAAAATAAAAGTTGATAATAATAGTCATTATAAGATGAAGTATTAAAAATTATTCAACATGTGATGTTCTCAGTGTTCAGTAGACTCTTTTGTAAGGTAACTAACCATTTTTTTTTCTGAGCATATAGGAACTGAAGTTATTAACTCATTGTAACTGACTTTGTCATCTAGCAAGTCTGCATAGAACCAGTTATTAGCCCAGTGATTTAATTGCCAACATGAAGGCTAAATGCTTTTGATTTGCTTATTATATAAAAACTAATGTTTTCCACTCATTCTCTATAAAATTCTGTGGTAAGGAAATCACTTCCTCTTCAAAATGACACCATCACTAGCTTAATATGACCAAGAAATTTTCTATAGATTAGAGAGGTTTGCTTTACTTAAAAATATAAAAACAGAGCTACTATTTCCTCTCCAAGTTTCACAAGACACATTAATTGAAAATAGATACACACATTGTTTAAACGTTTGATTTTGTAGCCTTTTGTATTGTGTCACACACATTTCCTCTACTTTAATGAAGTACACCATGAAATGCATACCTATCATGAGTCCTTGGATACCAAGAGTGGGAGAATTTTATCACTGACATTGTTTAGAATTGTCAGCATGTGGTGACAATAAATAAGCAGACTGACTTTCTGTTTTATTATTGTTTTAAAATTCTCCAGACCCCTTAAGGGTATTAGAGGCTATAAAGCTAGAACTTCTGACTCTAAGCCCAGTATATTCTTAACTACACTTCCTTTCTAATCCATCTCAAAGCCCTGTTGAATCTACCTTGCTCACATCAATCCATTCCCATCCTTGGAAAGGGTCTTGCCTCATCAATTAACCTCTTTCAAGCAACCTTTCCCTTGTTGGTTTCTTACCCTAAGTATTTAAATATGCTCATCATAAACAAAATGAAATAAACATCCCTTGTCTACCTTCCCTCTTTAGCTGGCTATCACCCCTATTTTCCTTCCCTGTGTAGTCAAGTTTCTAGATTCCTGACCGTGGGGAAGTTGGGGTTCCTATGGCCAGGATCCTCACTGAACTTAAACCACCTGATGATGTAACTGGCCTGTTGCTAGGCTACCGCTTCCACACCTTTAGGCGATAAGCTATTATTGCGCTATATAGAGAGCTCGGCCCAGTGCTCTAGGGGGAGGTAAGACACTAGTGGTCTACTTACCACTGGGAGAACAAGCCAGGTAATAAACCTTTTCACCCCAAAGAAACATTCTACTGTCATTTTCTTTGGTCACACTGAATCCATAGTGAACTTGCCATGGCCTGAAACCCATTGGCAAGACACTGACTCTGCTCATTGGGTACATTTTATCTTCTACTTGTTATTCAACTATAGCAATCTTGTTTCTACCTCATTATTAAGTGGGAACTATGCTTGATATAACTGCCAAATCTAATGGTCACCCAAGGGTTTATGCATCCATGATGGATGTTGTGCTTGCTCCTCGCAGGCGTGCATGGTACATTTTAGAGCAGGAACCTCCATTGGTGCTGAGGTCAGCCACGGAGCTACTCACTGAGGCTCCCAAGGTCATTAGATTAGTACCCATTGGTCCCCACCAGGTGCTGCAGTTGTGCGGGCCCAGGTTCATGTCCTCTTTACCATTAGCTTGCAATGCATTTTCTCTAAGCCCTCCAGATCCCATCAGAGTTGGGACATCCTTCTCTTCAACCTACAAAACCCACAAATTCCAAACCATCCAACTTTAGGACAATACTTCTCATACTTTAGTGTGTATGAATTGCCTGGGGATCTTAAAATGCAGATCCTCGCTTACTGGGCATGTGGTGGGGCATCTGTGGACTCCCAGGTGGTGCTGCTGGGAGGACTTCAGTTTGAGTAGCAAACCATCTGTTCTGATTACCCATTTGGGCCCACACTTTCCAGGTGAGTCTCCTCTACCTGGAAACTTCTCCTTTTAGCTCTGAAATACATAAGAATCCTGACCTCATGAAAAGCGGCTGGATAATTACCTTTTCCTCTTTTCTGAAAAGCAAAGCAAAACAAAACAAAAACCCCAAATATAAGACAACTGATTTCTTAATTGGCCAAAGTACCTCATTAAATATACCACTCACCTGCCTAGGTTTTCTCTCTTTACCTGCTTCTTAAATTTTGTTACTCCTTAGCACTCAATCCATAGTTCTTTTCTCTCTTCACTCAGCAGCCCATCACATTCATGTCCCTCTTGGAGAGAGGTTGACAACTCCCAAATCTCTAAATTCCAAGGTCCAGAGCCATACTGCAGATTCACTACTTGGCAGAGCCAAATGCACTGCCCCCTAGCACATGCCCCCCTCCTGTATTCCTTAACTTGATTAATGGTACCCCATTTGTGGAGGCAGGAACTTGGGATGTACCCTTGCTCCTTGTTTCTGAAAACCTAGCACAGAGAAGATTTGCTAAATAAATGAATCTAGTATATATTTTTGTCTTAATTCAGTGGTGCTAAGCTAGGGTTGTTCCTGCCTGCCCATCTCCCTCCACCCCCCACTGGCCCACCTCGGCCTCACAGCTATTTCCAAGGCCACTGGTTAATCCTGGAGACATTTTTAGTTGTCACTATGGGTCATCTCATGGGTAGAGGCTGAAGATCCTGATAACCATCCTGCAGTGCATAGGGTAGTCCCTGAAACGATTGGTCCCAAGTGTATAATGCTGAGCTGGAGAAACCCAGTTTTAGTTTACCGGCTTAAATGAACTTCTGTTTATACAGTAAATTTCCGGTAAGGTATATTTCCTTACTGGAGTAAGCATCCAGAGCACTAATATCGTTAATTTTGAGATGTGCAAATAGCCTAGTCATTCTTGAGAGCAGTGTTTCTCAAACCTGCCCCTGCACCAGGGTCAAGTGCAGAGCATGTGGCTGGCTCTTATTGGGTGTGTTAGACACAATAGCTTTGGGGCAAGGCCTCGGAATCTGCATGTCTAACAAGGTCTCAGGTTGTGCTCATGTTGCTGGTCTGGGGTTCACACTGCAAACTACTGCTTTAGAGAACCTGAGGATTTATTACACTATCCCCCAGTAGAGGCCGTGGCCAGAAACTTGAAATGCAGCTTCCCTGGGCAGGCAGACCCTTCTTGTTCCATCTGCCAGCCAGACGTTTGGAGCTGCTTCTGTGGTGACTGCCTAGCTGGCAGCACCTTAGGCTGAAAACACCACAGAATGGATGAAGGCTGCTGGCAGGGTAAGTAACCACTCCCTTTTCCTCCCTTGCCCCACACAAACATGGTGGCCAGGTAAGGTCCTGAGGTCCAGGCCCTTGAAAACAAGGTGACATCCTGCCTCCAATGTCCATATGCTAGCTCCTCAGAGCGCCAGTATCAGAATCACCCATCGGGTTTATATCCGTGGCCCACCCTCAGTAATGCTGGGAGTCAGCCATCGATCAAATCTGCATTTTAATAAACTCCCTACATTGGGGTTCTCAAAGTGGGGTGCTTGGACCAGCACCACTACCACCTGCAAACCTGTTAGAAATGCAGATTCCCTAACAGGACCCCAGACCTACTAAGCCTGCAACTCTTGGGGTTGGGCCCAGTCACTTGTGTGCTCACAAGCCCCTAGGTGACGCTGTTACACACCCAAGTTTAAGAACACCTGGGTTAAATTATTCTGCCTCTCAAGTTTAAGATCTCCGGATTTGGACTGTTTTCCTCTGCAGGTTTTATTTTCTTTTCCTTCCTGCATATGCCAGAAACACCCATAGGTAGCTTTCCAAGAGGACTTTTGTATCCAGTAAGAGAGCTTGAGAGCGCACCGTGTTGAATTTTGGTCATTTATCTGAGGGCCAGTCCGGCTTTGTCTGGCCCAGCACGGGTTCCCCAAGGAGATCGATCTGCACTCTCTGAAGCCCAGGGCCTCTGCGGCGTAACTTCGCGGAGGGATGATGTCCTGGGCGGGCTTTGCGGAGGCTACCTGGCTGCCGCCCCGCCCCGCGCTGCTGCGTACACACGCGGTTCCCTCGGCAACGCCTGGAACGCACGTCAGAGGATCCGCCAGGTCACTGGCGACCGCCAGACACAGGCTCACAGCTCGACTCCCGGCAGAGGCCGCTCGCACCGGCCCGGAACCACCTCCGGCTGCGGCCGCGGCCGCCCGTGCGGGATGAGGAGACCCGCAGGCGCCGCGGGGCCCCATGGAGCAGCCATCGGTCCGCCCGCCCGTGAGCACGGCCTTGTTGGTCAGCCCACACCCCGAAGCCCCCTCCGCGGCCGGCGCGCCTGGCGGGACGTCCTCCGCGACAACATCAGCGGCCGTGGTCTCCATCAGCACCGTGGTGGCCGCGGCTCTGGGGAACCGGAGCTTCGGGAGCGGAGGCGACGGCACTGGCGCCTGGGCTGGCGGCGGGCCGCGGGCGGCGGGGGCGGTGGGGAGGCCGCCGCTCGGGCCGGAGGCGGCGCCGCTGCTGTCGCACGGGGCGGCGGTGGCGGCGCAGGCGCTCGTCCTCCTGCTTATCTTCCTGCTGTCTAGCCTGGGCAACTGCGCGGTGCTGGGGGCGATCGTGAAGCACCGGCAGCTCCGTACCGTCACCAACGCCTTCATCCTGTCTCTGTCCCTGTCGGATCTGCTCACCGCGCTGCTCTGCCTGCCCGCCGCCTTCCTGGACCTCTTCACGCCGCCCGGGGGCTCTGCGGCCGCCGCCGCTACGGCGCCCTGGCGCGGCTTCTGCGCTGCCAGCCGCTTCTTCAGCTCGTGCTTCGGCATCGTGTCCACGCTCAGCGTGGCGCTCATCTCGCTGGACCGCTACTGCGCCATCGTGCGGCCGCCGCGGGAGAAGATCGGTCGCCGCCGTGCGCTGCAGCTGCTGGCGGGCGCCTGGGTGGCGGCGCTGGGCTTCTCCACGCCCTGGGAGTTGCTCCGGGCGCCCCGGCAGCCCCCGGCCGCACAGAGCTTCCACGGCTGCTTGTATCGGACGTCCCCGGACCCCGCGCAGCTGGGCGCGGCCTACAGCGTGGGGCTGGTGGTGGCCTGCTACCTGCTGCCCTTCCTGCTCATGTGCTTCTGGCACTACCACATCTGCAAGGCCGTGCGCCTGTCCGACGTGCGCGTGCGGCCTCTGACCACCTATGCGCGCGTGCTGCGCTTATTCAGTGAGGTGCGCACAGCCACCACCGTGCTCGTTATGATCGTCTTCGTCATCTGCTGCTGGGGGCCCTACTGCTTCCTGGTGCTGCTGGCCTCGGCCCGGCAGGCCCAGGCCACGCAGGCCCCCTCGCTCCTCAACGTGCTGGCAGTCTGGCTCACCTGGGCCAATGGGGCCATCAATCCTGTTATCTATGCCATTCGCAACCGCAACATTTCGATGATCCTGGGGCGCAACCGGGAAGAGGGCTACCGGACTAGGAATGTGGACACTTTCCTGCGCAACCAGGGCTTGGGTCTGCAGGCCAGATACTACAGTCGCCTTCGAAACCGCTATACCAACCGGTTGGGGGCCTGCAGCTGGATGTCCTCTTCCAACCCGGCCAGTGGGGTGGGAGGGGACGTGGCCATGTGGGCCCGAAAAAATCCAGTTTTGCTTTTCTGCCGGGAGGGGCCACCAGAGCCTGTAAGGGCAGCGGCCAAACAGCCTAAATCTGAACCAGGGGATACCAGCCTCTAAGAAGGGATGCAAGGCTTGTGAAGGCAAATTTGCATCTGCTTCGTTTAATGATACAGGATTATGGGGAGAATTGTGTATTTCAAAAGCCAAACATTTTTTAAAAGACACAGGGAGAGGCTTACCATTCCCCCCAAACATACAAGACAATGTCCCCTTCTTGAAAAGTGCCAAAAAGAATGTAAATGCAAAAATTAAAACAATCTCAAACCACACAACCAAGCATCATGAAAACTGTACATGCCAAGAATGACAAAAGATTCACAATTACCGAAAAGCTCATGTTACAGCAATCACACTGTGAAACAAGCAAACAGTTCATTTAATACAATCAGTATTTGTTCAAATACGTAGTTTCAGGAAAGAATGGAGACCCTCAGAATTGCTTGAAGTCCCTGCTAAATCACCAGCATTCAACAGAACTTCAGATTTTTAGAACTTGCACCTCTGACACAGCTTTGGGTGCTTAGATTGGGAGCAAGAAATTCTCATCTTTACATACTTTGGTGCAAGTTCTTGCCATCCCCCCGCCTCACCATTAATCTTTGTGAGATTATAATTTTTAATTCATATCCCATTTAAGACCTCTTTAAGGATTTTGAAAAGGTGGCTTATCACCATAAAATTTAACCTTTCAAAGGGCAAAGAAAAGGGTGAACATAAATATGGCTCTTCAAAAAGTACTCCAAGAGTATACTTAAAAATTAATGACCTTCAGCCTACCCCCAAAATTATCGCTTTGGGAAGCTTTGAGGTTTTACCCTTACTCTGACCTGCTACTTTTGCTTCTAATAATTTTGAGGTTGCCACACTCAAAAGGTTTCCACATTAAAAAAAAAAATAACTTGAATAGTGGAAAATCTTTGCTTTTTTGAGGTAAATTTGATTTTTGGATGCAGCCAAAAATGTAATTTGAAGTCATGTTGATTGAATCAGACAAATAATGCCATATGTTATATATATATATGTGTGTGTATGTGTGTGTGTGTGTGTGTGTGTGTGTGTTTGTAAATGAGAGCTCTATAAAGTAGCAAGATTGGCTTTCCTATGTGGCAAACTAACTGAAGATGTTTCAAAAGAGGAATTCTAAAACATTTTGAGAAGTGACTGTATTCTTGGAATAAGCATAGAGCTTTCCAAGTGGATCGTACTCTCCTACATTTGACATTTGGGTACATTTATGTAAAAAAAATCATTGATTTTATAGACATGACTTGTGTAAAATAATGTGGTCTTCATTAGACTGGGAGAATAGGTGTGGGGTTATTATATTTAGTAGGGTATTAATAATTTAGGCATAAAGTTAACTACTCCAATCAAGTTGGAAATGTCTTCAGAAATGTGCAAAAAAAGATGCATTTTAAAATTCACAAATACAATTCAGGATTTGTGTGTGTGGACTTTCTCATGTAAAATACCACTGTATATAATCATTTGATCAGAATTTTAGAAGATGTTTTTGTCATTTTCTCCCTTTCCTTTCCTCCATCTTGCCCTTCCTGTCTTCAGTATTTCACAGCCTAATGAATAAGTACTTTAAACTAGATATGAAACATCAGTTATCATATAAAGATTTCAGTGTGAAGTAACCACCTTTTTTTTCTTGTTAACTATTTAAAGATGTTTATTGCTATTTAAATTTGTGTGTGATAGTTGGGTATATGTCATCATTTTGTAATCAAAGATGGAAACACATGATTTGTGTCAGAGCTAGAGATTTAAAAAATTTTTCCCCTTCCCAAGGCATCATCACAATCAGTTCATACATTATCTGTGTATATCTTGCTACACTCAATGTAGTACAAAAGAGATGAGATAATCTCTCCTCTTTAGCACTTTTTATAAAACATGTACAGACTTAATGCAGCTGAACTAACAGTTAACAGACATCTACAGTATTTGCTTATTAAAATGTGTAATTTTTGGCATTGTGAGAAAACAGGAGTTATGTCTGGGAATTTAGGGTGAAGTGATAAAGTCTCCCAGTTATGAAAGATATCATAGAATAGGAATTTGGGAACTCTGAGTAAAGACAGAAAGCGAGTTCGAGAGCTTAGGGGAAGCAGGCAAGTGTGTTGCAAAATAAGCTATTGCCTGAGAAGAATCATCCAAGGAAGGCATTTAAAAGGAACATAACACGGAATAAACCGGCCTCTTGAGTGAAAGGAAAATCAGAGACTGTAAGACTCCAGGTGGTGGCACGAAGGACTTGAAGGCAGAAAAGGGATCCCCCACACTGCCTCTTGTTATGTTGCAGTAGGAAGTTATAGAAAAGTAGAAAGTTTTGGGCAAGACACCCTTCTTTCAGTGGCTCTGAGTCATGGTTGGCCAGAATGGGAACAGAAAGAGAAAATTGCTAATATGTTATTGAAAAATTTAGTGTTCTGTTTGTTTTTAATTTGAGGCTAAACAACAAGTCAGTGATAGAACTAGGATTTGAACCACAGTCTGTCTGGCCTCAGAGCCCTGTTCCCTTCTCCACCCTCTGGGGCCCCCATAAAGGTCAGTGGATAGGGAACCTAAGGGTGAGAAGTTGTACTATCACCACCTTCATCATCACCATCAGCCTCTCCAGTTTTTCTTTCTTTCTTTACATAGGGCAGCTTCCAGAGTGCTAAAGCAATTACAGGCAGAAATCACAGTACCTGCTTTAAAAGCACTTACAGCTTGAGGACCTTGTGCTTTATGAAAATCAGCCATAATCAGGACTCTTTACCTATGCAGAAGAAAAAGTGCAGATTTTTCAGAAGCAGTTATCAAAGAAAAGAGATGAATTTAGAAGCAAAATATATGTAAATAAAGGCCAGCCACCAATCTGGTCCAGTTATAAATACTTAGAGACAGAAATTAATGCCTTAAATGAAAGATGGAGAAAGAATAACTCAAATAATCTGAGACTTAGACCTTTTCCTCATGCTAAGTGCACAATTACATTAACTGTTTGAAAAGAGAAAAGAGAAGCTGTGAAATATTAGGATGTACTAACTACTGCGTAACACACAAGGCCAGAAGGAAATCCTTCGTGGCTCACTCTGCTCTCAGTTTGAGTGTTTCACCTGATTTGAAATAACAGCAACAAGTCATACTCAGCTTCGTACAGGCATTTGCTCTTAGAATCCTCAAAGCAACCCCCAGTGAGGTACTATTATTGTCATTCCCCCCATTTTACAGATGAGAGAAAAATGAGACATGGAGGGGTGATGTTATCTGCCTAAAGTCACACAGGAAGTAAGTGCTAGACATAAGATCTGTACCTAGCAGATGAATTCCAGAGATCCTGTCTTAACCACTGCACTGTGCTGTCTCTCTAATGTGTAAAAGAGAATGGGAAACCTGGGAAAGAGCCAGGGAAGATAAAGACAATTATCCAAAGGATGGCTAAAACGACATACCATAAAATTTTAAAGATTTGTTTTATTTGGAGAACAGCTTTATGAGGTATGTAATTTTAAAATATACAAAGAAATTCAGAGTATCATCCCAGCCCTGGATGACTCCAATCATCCATTGTCTCCATTCCTGCTCCAGGGCAACTGAGCAGAGCTGCAGAATTACAGACTCAGTCAATATCCTCTGCACCTAAAATCCATGGTTTCCACTGGCCCCTCCTCCTTGCCTGGCAATTTGAACCTTTTTGCTTGTAAGCTTACTCTTTCTGTCCATTTTAGTGACACTTCAAACTTTCTCCACTCATAATTGCCCCTTGCCTCTTGAAAAATGACCTGTTCCTACTTCACCAAGAATATAGAAGCCATCAAATATATATACTCTCATATTTTAGCCACCAAACATTACAGACTAAACTGAATTTATACCAGTTCAAATTTATACAGTATAAATACTAAACTGAATCTATACCATTTGTAGAGAAAATGAAAGTTCCTATGGCCAGGATTCTCACCTGACCCTGGTCATCTTGCTCACTGCACACATGTGGACAATACATTATTACTGACTTAATATAAAGAGCTCCGCCTAGTGCTCTGGGCTGCTCCGCTGCAGGAGAGCAGAGGCTGGAGAGGTGGCAGCACTGAGGACAGAGAGTGAGATGCTGCAGGGGGTGGAGGAGGCCCGGAGGCAGAGACCGACTTGCTGCATGCAGACTTGCTCTGAGGTGGACAGGATTATAGCGCTTGACCTGCCACCGTGAGAATAAAGCTGGGTATAAACCCAGCATCCCAAGAAGTTTCATTGTCATTTTTTGGTCTCACTGAATCAAGAGCAAACTTGCCTGGGGTTAAAACCTATTGACATGATATCAGTTTTCATACCCAGCTCTGTCTTTTCAGTAATAAAGAAGCTGGTGCCCTCTCCAGCAGGAATCTCATACTATCATTTATCTCCTTTCTCTGGTATTCTTAGCCCTTCCTGCTCAACCAAATCCCTCCCATGAGCATGCAAATTCTCACTTAAAAGGAAATAGAAGAAATGTTTCCTTTTCTCTCATCCACTTCTTTTCTTTCTCTCAGCTCCCTACCAACAGCTGAACTTACTGAAAAAAAGTTGCCTACACTTGTATACCTAATCTAAATCCTTGTCCACAATTTTACTGGCACAAGAAAGTTGTCATTTTTTATGTAACTCCATTTTTGCCCATCCCTAATGTGTCAGATTGCAGAAATTTAGATGGCAGCACCTAGGCCCCAGGGGCTATTTCACACCGAGGCACTGGTGAGCATGAGTCTTCGGTGGCCAACCATCTGTGCCGGCATCGGCTGAGAATCCATCAGTCTGTCTCCAGTCACACCCACCATGCTTCCTGCATGGTTGTCCCCCACTCAGTCCAAGAAGGCCCACCTCTAAGTTCAGATGACTTTAGGGCTCTTCTTTGGACCCAGAAAGATTGTTATTCTGTCTCAGGACCACAGAGGGCTGTGGCCACACCCATAAAGCTGTCTCAGGCTGTTTTAGAAAAATTATTTAAAAACACTTTTGATTATTTGATACTTTTTGATATTGTTTGATCAACAAATCAAAATAATATATAAAGTGTACATTGGTAGTTCCACTTACGGAATGGCAGTGAAGAGCTCTGTGGACCTGCTACTCAGTGAAACAACTACAACAGGTAAAAACTACTTAAAATCAATCATTTGAAATCTCTGGATATTGTTCTAAGAGAGTACTACAATTAAACATTTGGCCAAGAAACATTTATGTAATTTGCTAAGAACAGCTAGAGCTCCCTGCTCCCAGCTCAGTGTGACAGAAACTCCACTTCAGGTGAGTACAGCCAAGAGCACAGGGCTCCCTCTTTCCTTAGCTTCCAGTGGAGGAGTACGGTATCTTTCTGGAAGGAGTAGGCCATGAGAACTTGGCATCTTTCAAGTTAACACATAGCAGAAACTACATTCCAGGTAAGTGCAGCCAAGAGATTCAGGTTCCCTTCTTCTACCTAGTCCCCTTCATAGAGCAGATGCTTGAACTCAGGTGTGGCATTCTGGGAATATTGGGGCCACAACTGTCCTCAGCCCACCTCTTTTGTAGATTGGAGACTCCATGCTAAGACACACAAGTTGAGAAGACCAGAGGCTATGACCCCAGTGTCCTGCTCCTTAAGCAAGGTTCACTCCAGAAGAAACAAGCCACTCCGAGCCTGACTCCAGCTTCAGAGCTGTGCCTCAGGTATTCTGACCAGGCGAAGAGACAGGCCTCTAAACAGAGAACACCAGAGCTCTCCCCAAGGCAGCAAACTTTATTTGAAACAGAGTGTGGGGAATTTCGAGTCTAAGTACGTTCACCAAAATGTTTTTGATGAGTCTAAGTTTGCCAAAACAATGGAGATTTGGTGGTAAAAAATGAAGAGGAGGGTGATATTTCATGAGAGATGTGAGCAAAACCACTGACTAGCTAGTTTGCCAGCATCAGGGTAAGTGACAGCTAAGGAGAGCCTTTGCTTATTGTTGAGTTTTAAAAGTTCTTTGTATGATTAGAGTCCTTTATCTTTGCAAATACTGTCTCCCTGTCTTCTCTTCTCATTGTGCTGAACTTTTCAACATTTAAAAAAAAGAAAATACATGATTTTGACATTTTTTTTAAGACTGAGATGAAGACAGAGTTGCTCCTATTAATATGAATATTAATCCTCCCTAAGGGACATTTTGGAAACTGGTGGAAGCATTTTGTGTCACAGTGTCACTGGCACTTAGTAAGTCATATCCAGGAATGCTAGATGTCCTCAAACCATAAGAGAATATTGTCCAATGCAGAATTGTCCCTCATTCCATACAGTTGTCAAAGGTCCCACCAGATACTGAAGTAGCTGATCTATGGATCATTATGTAATGCCATAACTTGAACCAATTCTTTACAGAAACACAATTTTTTAAGCATGGTTTTAATATACACTGAAAAGTTTCTTGAAATTCAAGTGTTTTGTAAATTGAACAGTTATATTTGTTTTATTTATATTTTTATCAGCAATACTCACCTTTTTGGAAAGCCACATCTCATTTTGCTACACTTCTTGGCTAAAATTATTTCTCTTTATAAAATTGTGAAGAAAACATTTGTATCCATCTGCATTTGTAGCTATTGCAATCACTGTGATTGTATATTTAGGTGTAAGCATCTAACTATTTTGTTTATGCTGCAATAAAAGAGAACTACTGGACACACAATAACACAGATGAATACTAGACATTTTTCCAAGAGAAAAATATGGATACAAAAGAGTATATACCATATGACTCCATATGAAGTTCTAGAAAAAATGAAATAAATGTAGGGTGGAAATAACTAGAATTTCTAGTTCTTTACTGAAAGTTCCCATGTGTTCATTCACTATGTCCACTTTTTCCTTTAATCCCTTAAACATATTTATAACAGATGTTTTTAAAAGTCTTTGCTATTTCAAACATCTGTGTTATATAAAGATCTGTTTCTATTTACTGCTTTCTTTCCCTTGATTATGGATCGTATTTTCTTTCCTTTTTAAAAAAACCTAGTTGTCTTTGACTACATATTTGACACAGAGGGTAATACATTGTAGAAAATCTGGATTCTGTGTTTTCCTTTAAAGGGTGTTAAATTACTACTGGTCCTCAAGATCCTTTCAGACTTGGCTTTGATCTTTGTTTGAGACAGTCTATTTTAGTTTCGTCCTAG